AAGACGAATCAGACGACTATGATGAAGATGGTCACTCCAAAAGTGAGTACGTTCGATCTTGGCTCGAAAACTCTGAAGCAAAACAAAAGTCAAATCAAGGCGCAATCACCGGAGGGAAGGCACCATTTAATAAAACCGTCACAAAGCCGACCCCGGACGTTGTTGACCTCAGTGAGCCCCAAAAGGAGCTCACGAACCAGGATTCCTATCCAGAAGATGTACAAAAGGATCCCATGCCACAGAAGCTCAGCCAGGAACCCACCGTTGATGAAGACAGGGGGCTCCTACCGAATGTATCAGAGCTCACATACCAGGATTCCTATCCAGCAGATGTACCCAAGGATCTCAAGCCAAAGAAACCTAGCCAGGAACCTGTCATAAGTGAAGACAGGGGGCCTCCGTCCGTTTATATCGGAGCTCACATCCGCTATAGCCGCGCTCGCTGACAAATCAAAGTTAGAGAGTGCGCCACTATCGCCGCATACTTTCGCAGCGTCGAAAGCTATAATGACACTGCCAAGCTTTAGCGGAGCACATACCGAGTGGCTTTCATTCCGTGCCATTTACGAAACAACCTCGAGGCTACTTCAATGACATTGAAAACACTGCTAGACTAAGACGAAGTCTACAAGGAAGAGCCTTGGAAACAGTCAGTTCAGAACTCATCGGGTATGCTAAGCCAGATGAGATTATGCGAGAACTGGAGCTACAATTTGGGCGTCCAGATTCAATCGCGCAAGCAGAAACCGAGAAATTACGAGGATTAGCACGCTGTACAGAAGCGCCCAGAGACATCTGCACATTCGCGAGCAAAGTGAGGGGAAGCGTCGTCACTCTTAGAGCCCTAAAGCGAGATCATTACCTCGTCAACGCAGAGCTGCTACGACACCTCACCGACAAACTGCCAAACTCTATACGTGCCCAGTGGTATAGAATCTATACCGAAAAATATGACTCCAGACCAGACCTCGGCTGCTTCAGCGAGTTTATTACCGAGCAAGCTCGCTTCTGCAGTGCATTTGCGCCTCCAGAAATTATAAACGAAGCACAAAGCAATCGTTCAGTACATAGAGCACACGCGGCTACTACTAAGCCGTCTCCGAAATGCAGAGTGTGCGAAAAGGAGAGTCACTACGGATCTGAATGTAAAAAAATTTAAAGAAGCAGATATCAACAAAAGATGGGAACTCGCAAAGCAAAATGATTTATGTTTCCGCTGTTTACGTTATCGAAATCAGACACACAAATGCAAAACCAGTAAGTGTGGAATAAAAAGATGCACCGCGACACACAATCGACTTCTCCATAATAATACAAAGGAGAAGACTGAGGTCAAACAAAAAGAACCTCAAGAAACCTGTAGCTAACTCATTCGCTGTGTCAAAGCATCAAGCCTATTTAAAAATAATTCCAGTGCGTGTAATTGGACCGGCGGGAGCTGTAAATACACACGCCCTGCTGGATGATGGGTCAAGAGTTTCACTAGTGGATGAAGAGATCGCCAAACAAATTGGAGCTACAGGGCGGTTGGACCCGTTTAAGATCACCGCTATCGGGAACACTACCCTCGATTCACCGAAATCCCGAAGAATCAAAGTATCGCTGAAGAGTCTCCACAGCAAAAGGGTGCCATTCAGAGCACGCACGGTCGCAAGCCTAAACTTGGGGCCACAGACTGTGCGTGCAGTAGACATAGCCAAGTGCAAGCACTTGAAAGACATAAAGGAGCAGCTAACATATGTCTCCGGCAACCCAAGGATCCTAATAGGACAGGACAATTGGAGACTTCTGATAGCCACTCAAATCCGAAGAGGTCCGCCGCACCAGCCAATTGCCTCGCTCACAGAATTAGGATGGGTGCTACACGGGGCACACACTAAAGCCCTGCATCAGCGCGTCCACGCGGCAAATGAGCTGCACAAGAGCGAGGAAACTATAGATGACCAACTCCGCGAATATTTTGCGCTGGTATCTCTCATTATCAATCCGAGAAGACCAGACTCCGACCCAGAGAAGAAAGCTGAAGATATACTAAGTAGCAGCACCCGTCAGTTACAAGACGGGCACATAGAAACAGCGCTTCTCTGGAAGAAAAAGGATATCGAGATGCCTGGTAATTATGAAACAGCAATAAAACGGCTCGTTTCCATTGAAAGAAAATTAGATCGAGACGAAGATCTAAAAAGAAAGTATGATGAACAAATGAATTCCTTAGTACAAAAAGGATACGCTGAGATAGCACCGAAAACTAGTTCACCGGGAAGAACATGGTACCCACCCCATTTCGACGTCCATAACCCAATGAAGCCAGAGAAGTTTCGAATAGTACACGATGCCGCAGCCAAAACAAAGGGGGTGTCATTGAATGACTTCCTGCTCACGGGTCCAGACCTACTGCAATCACTACCAGGGGTTATGATGCGTTTTCGTCGCCATAATGTCGCTGTCTCCGCGGACATAGCCGAAATGTTCATGCAGGTCAAAGTTAGACCCGAAGACAGAGATGCCTTAAGATATCTCTGGAGAGGGGATCGACGTAATGAAGCTCCACAGGAATAGAGAATGACGTCGATCATTTTCGGTGCAGCCAGTTCACCCTGCACAGCCATATTCGCGAAAAACTGGAACGCTAAAAAACACAAAGACAAGTATCCAGAAGCCGTAGAAGCTATCATTCAAAACCACTATATGGATGACTATCTCGACAGTTTCCAGTCTCTGAAAGAGGCAATGCGAATATCGAACGAAGTACGCGACATACACAAAAACGCGCACTTCACCTTAAGAAAATGGGTTTCCAACGCACCAGAAGTTGCAAAAGAATTAGAACCTGACCATGAACCATCTGAGTCAGTCGATCTGGGAAACAAAGGAACCGAGGAAAAGATACTCGGATTAATCTGGAAACCGGGGATCAGCTGAGCTTCAACCTAAAGCTCGCTCGACTTCCAATCAATTTGCTGCATGAAACAAAAGAGAGAAATGGAGAAGTATGATTTTTTACAAGAGGACATAAACACGGCCCAAGGGGTGGGTCTCTCGCTGCCACGAGGGAGGGTGGAAGCTGTTTACCCCGGTGCGGACGGACAGATCCGCACTGTGGAAGTACGCACAGCAAACGGCCTGATCAAGAGGCCAACCAGGAAACTCGTGCCGCTGCCGAAGTAGAAGCAACGTCGCTCACCGAAATGGATGCAGCGCCGCTGTGAGAAAATCGTCGCGACGCTGCACGGCGGGAGAGATGTTCGCGACGGCCTAACAACCTTAAGAAACAAAGTGATAAAGAATATTGTTTTATGTATTAATAGTGAAATTACCAAGAAAACTGAGTGAAAACGTGTATTAATATAGTTGTTTAACATATTTATAACTCTTAGTATGTTTGTATAGAATGTCGTTTTGATAACAAGTAATGTAAACAACTTTTATTATATACCAAAAAAATCGACCAATCACAGCGCGTCTTATCGTAGAACTCTCTAGAAGTTTTTTAATTAACTGCGTAATAGTTTATACCAAAAATAATGAAAATAATTTTATGTTCTGAAAGAGTTATAAATATGACATTTAATTAGCATATGGATTAAAAATTAAAGAATTGTAAGAATATTTTTTTTATAATTAAACGCATTTCGTAGTTATAGAAAAATTAAAGAATTAAAATACCCAAATATTATGAAAATTTGGGACATTTCGTTTAATAACTTTTTTAAAATGTTATTGTTTCTAATAACCTTTATGATATACTAATAAAGTACCAGACTACCGATTTAATGATATATAGCATGTTAGTGTAGCAATTAATTTCGTATAGAGAATATTGCAATTTATGCCATTTGTATAGTGAAATGTTTATGCAATAAAGAGGCAAAACGGAAAATGGCAAGCGGCTCACTGTAAAGTATTGCTAAAGTCTACCTTAGGGGCTCGGGACCCAGTACCCGTAGTAGTGTGAAGAACTACCAGTGACAAGTGAAGTGAAGTGAGTGGTATCCGGTGGTAGCTGAAGTGACTAGTAGCAGTATATAGTGAATAGTGAAAGTGTTAGCTAGCCGAAAAAGGTCGTAACTGACATTCGCAGTTACATATTGAAAGTGTTAGCTAGCCTAAAAAGGTCGTAACTGATATTCGCAGTTACATATAGTGAAAGTGGTAACTGATATCCGCAGTTACACAAGTGATAAAATCAGCTAGTTTAGTTGATAATAGCTGCTAGTCAGTAGTGTTAGAAAACCAGCTACTACCAATAGATATTTGATACCACCGTACAATTTAAAGAAATCTTTTGAAATATACAGTGAACAACCGTAGTTTAACAACAGTGATCAATAAATAATAGTTATAAAATTTCGCGGTGAGAGTACCCACCGGAACCTATAGGTGTAGGACGTGAGCGACTCGCGAAGTATCTTCGACAACATTTACTCCGGAGAGTTTCGCCCGTCCGGCACAAAATGTTTAATAAAAAAAAGTAAAAAAAAAATAATAAAAATAAGTGAACTATTTTGCTATACCGTGGGTTCAGCAAAAATAAAATTGTTATTAGCTTGCCACATCTACTACCAGTTGGAACATTACAACCATGTCAGTAGGAAATACAATTTATTATAATTTGATAAAGAAAAGTGAAAACAGTACAAGTATGCCGGTTAAAAAAAATACTCTAAAGAAAAAACTGTAAATGCGCACTTTTAAATTTTTACGGTGGTAACCCTGCGTATGACGATCGCATTACCATAGTAAAAACAGAACTTCTGATCTGTTTTTACTATGACATTTTAATTATTTGACATTGTCATTTCATATTGACATTACAAACAAAAATAAAAATTTTGAAGGTTGCAAAAAGTTTCAATTCAATTTTCTATGAGGTTTGTTTCAAGTTAAATTATATAAAGCAGGTAGTTTGGGGTAATAAGTCCTACAACTACCAATGATAAAAGTTCTTAGTATTTATAAGTAATGATACGTAATATAATTATGCCCTACAAACAAAAGAAATGAATAATTGCATAAACTCCAATAGCGGTAAGTTAAATATCATTTTAAGTAAAATATGCAATTAACTACAGTAGTGAGATTCTCAGTAAAAGAGAAAAAGAAAAAGTTAATATATAAAGAGACTAATTTTACAACTTTTTTCCAGGTTTAGACCATTGTTTGGAGGCCACAGCTTTGGAAGTTTCTGAATTACTCATAGGATATTCAGCCAGTTGGTCTAGAGAAACAAGACGTACCTTGCTTCCATTACAGAGCTTTAGATATATGTTACCATCTTGTGTCCAACACTTGTGCATACCATGTAGGCGTCGAGCTTCTTTGAAAACTTCTCTTATTTGACGAGTAAGAAATTCAGCAATAGAAATATTACTTCCTTTCAAAGAAAGCTTAGCACGCCAGATTTCTTGACGAATGGTATAATCTGTAAACTTTACCAGCAGTGCACGAGGATTTGCTGTTGTGTTTTTTCCCAAACGATAACATGAATGAATCTGAGTTGATCTAAATGTATGCATTTTTAATTTTGACGTCACCAGATTTACAACAGTGTCAATGCAGTTTTCTGTATCAGACTCTTCAATGCCTCGGATTAAAAGTAATTTACGTCTGCTCCTGTTGTCAATGTCATCAGTCAATAGTGTAAGGGACTGAACTTGCTTTTTTAAGATCTCCAGCGTAGTCTTCATAGTATCTTTGAACATGATAAAATCATTGGTGAGAGAAGTGATATTATATTGAGAACTTTCCAACCGGGCTTGAAAAGAAGACATGCACTCTTCAAACTTTTTTTGTGTGTTTTGACAATATCTTCAGGTTTAGTTTTTTCAAGATTTCTTCTTCCAGCCATAGTGGAGTGTAGAAGTGTAGTACTGAAGAATAGTATTTGTAGCAGATGCGGTGTAAACTAATACATGTGCTATGGGATATTAGTCAAGATTTAAGATGAATAAGTTTTAATGGATTTTATTAGAAAATATACCTAAAACTTGTAAGTTTCACTATTTTAATTATTTATCAAAACAAGACCCAATAAATATGTTGTCACTGTTTGTGCACCTACCCCCGAAAAAAAAGGTATCATTATGATATAATTATTGTTCTAAGTACGTAATTCCACTTCAAAACAAGTTCAGTTTAACAAATCAAATGTACAAATTCTTATTCCAAAACTAAAAATATAACTCTAAATATTATTGGCCAATTATTTTTTTATTAAAACGTATTATTTGATTACGAAAATAATTTATACATTTTGCGATTTTTTCCATTAAATATAAAAGTAAACAAAAAAACATATACTTTTGAGGGAGCAGATGCACAACTTTTACAGAAAAAATTAAATCCCAACTTATTTTCAAAATAGACAACCAACTATTGCAGTTATGACAAGTCAAATTGTAGTGACAACTATGTTATGTTATCAATTAAAATACATATGAAGCCAAATACAACTTCTGGTTTTATTTTTCATGAGCGTGGCTGTAGAACTAGAAAAGAAAATTTGGGTCGTTTTACCGCCCTTGGGCATGTATGGGTAAGAATAAAAAAGAAAAGAGGAATGAAAAGGATAAAGAAAAGAATTTGGAGACATCATATATGACCTGTGCACTGACACTGTCTTTTCTCGTCGAGCGATGACAGTGATCATGTGAGAAAGCTGTCATGGCGGTGTTTCTGTCCAGATAATTTTTGGAACATAAAATTTGCTGTGTCAAACTGATTTGGAACAGGAAACTTAGTTACTGTTGTTTTATTGCCTTTGTTTGTCTAGAAAATATTATTTTAAAACAAATGCTGATTGGATAAGTTTCTTTTCAAAATAGTGATGTAAATTCTATAAAAACATGGGACAATCACAAGCTACTCAACTCAACACCAGTTACTGTACTCCAAAGATTCAGTAATTCCTTCCTGAAGTTAATATATATTTTACAACATAGTGTCAGAAAATATGCAGGGCCTCTGTATCAAATAATTAAAAAAAATATAACTCTAAAACTATAATACCTACTTATACAAAGTAATTAATCACAACAACCATTGAAAATGAATGTTATCGCTACTAAATACGTTAGTAAATAAGGCCTGAAAATCATTCAATTAAAAACTATACCCAAAATGTTTTTCAAAATACACATTTGGCGATAAATTCATTCGTATTAAAAATGGAGAAACTCGAACTTATTGCGGTTATTAAATATTTCTGTCTAAAAAAAACTTCCACAAAAAGTGTCTTTGAAGAAATGCAGTTTACTTTGACAGACAATACTCCGTCATATTCTAAAGTGGCCAACCACGGCCGCTGCGAAAGGAAACGATAAAAAATCTAACAAATTGTTAGGATCAACGTGTGACCATATGTTATTTATTTGAGAATGAGATTCTAGAGCTTTCATTTGGGAGGATTCAGTTTATTTCAACTGGTACCTGAAAATTAAAAAAGTACGCTGGGTTCTTCGAATGTTAACGGACGCTGAAAAGAAACTAAGTATTGACATTTCAAAACTAAATTTATGAATAATTGATATTTGAATAATTGATATGAATTTATGAATAATGATTGACATCCAGATTCTTTTTGCGTTTGTTTACACTATTTTGATCCAGAAACAAAAAACAGTTTTTTACAAACAGGAAATGGATTATGCTCGAGGCTGTCTTAGTTCTCTATTGTGATATTGCATTTGCATTTTCATTCTCAATTGACGATAAATATAGATAGAAGGATCACAGCTATAACTTACCATCATGTAGACTCTGTTCTTGTCTGTCACACATACTCTCTGAAAAAATATTTATTTGGTGTATAGGTCAGTAACATTTTCAATTTAACAAGTAACAGTAGCATTGTTTACTTGTTAAGTAGACAATGTAGTTAAATTAATTTGCCAGAAAAGCTCCGGCGCCAATTTATCCGTACTAATGTTTCACGCGCAATGCTACAAATAACTACAGATCAAGAAAACTATTCCGTTATTCATAGAAAAACTATTGCAAGCTTTCGATAAATGTTTTGTCTTGACTAGATATGATGTTTTTATCGCCTGTTAAATCTGTTAAGATGTAGATGTTTAAGGGAATGAAAAAACTTTGGTGTTGACCCAGCCTTAGCCGCAATCATTTTGCAAATTTTGTAAATAGGCGAGTGTGGCATCGCTTAGGTTCGAAAATGAATTTAGATAGCAGTCATGTTTTTCATATTCAAATAATTTTATTTGTACAAACTCAGGATCAATCGATAACTGCTCCTCGGACTAAGATCATGTTCTTCAAAATTCCTAGAAGACTCCGCTAGTTATCTCGTATCACATGGTGACCTTTTCACCTATTACCTATAGACCTATTTGAATGGATTTTTCTGATAGAATTACAATTTAATATTAAAAAGGAGACTTGATACTAATAGAAAATAAAAATAAAACTTATCAAGTTGGCAGAAGACAGGTGTTGTTACTAAAATGTGTTCAAAAATCACATTTAGGGAATATTACAAGCGACCTAATTGTCCGCCTGTTAGTAAGTGGCTACTCTCGTACAATTCAAGGTCACCTAGAAATAACTTGAAATTAAGAAAGAAACATACCCTGAATGAATACTCAGAATGCACAAAAGCCTATAAACTTTATTAAAATTCAAATTGAAATACAATTATATATATACAAGTGGATCCACCAGCTAATACGACTCCTAGAAAAAAGGAATCTATAATTGTACATAACGGTTTCTATATCACTAATAGATTCATCCGACTCGAAAATCCATCGTATCAAATACGTTAAAAAAATATAAGCTTACTAATCAGTAGTCACCTCACTTAGCTTAAGAAATTTTCTACTATTTGAGATGTCATTGTGTAAATTGACGGTTAGTAATCCATATGAATAAAATAAAAATAAAATGATCATATTTGATTGTTTATATAGCATCATTATGCCTATCACAAGCCCTCTACCTAAGATAGGCCTCCATCAAGGAACGTCACAAAGCACGGTCTTGAGCCACATGCATCCATTGACTTCCTTCATCTCTTACCAGGTCGTCATCCCATTTAGTGGCAAGCTGCCCTATACTTTGCTTACCGGTACAAAGCTGCTATTCAAAAACCTTTTTCTCCATCAGTTGCTGGTTTTTCGAGCTAGACTGCCGGCTCATTGCCATTTAGGCTTACTATTCTGTTACGGGCTAAATTGTTTACTCTGGTTCTACTGCGGACATCCTTATTACGAATACTAAAATGCAGATAAACTCCGAGTAATGATATTCAAAACTTACTCCGCGACTTTATGATTCATCGTACGGTCAGCAGTGAAAAATTAATTTGAGACGTAGTCTACGTCTCAAATTAATCGTCGTTACATCTAAGTGCTGACCTCCGGACACATTATCTTAACACCGTCTATTTGATATCGTCAACGTGAACATTTTCAACTCATTTGTTTTTATGTTTATTTCACATGAGAGTCGGCAAATGGAAGTTGTACAAAATTCACTAGAGTTTACTTTTGCGTAAATTTCTATTCCGTACCTATTCGTTTATTTACCGTCTGCGTTTGGCTTCGAAGCTGTTTTTTTTTTTTTTTGCGCCCGAAGCAATTAAAGGGCTACCCTGTACGTAGTGAGGCGGAAAATGCATTACGCATACCACGATAGCCGGTCTATCGTGGTTATGGGGGACTCACTGTCCTACCGGGGACCCTAAGTGATACCCCCTAAAAACCGCCTTTGGGGACAGGCAACCGGCTGATTAAGCTCTATTGTGCCTTATCATGAGCGACCCTATTTTGGGAAAAGAGGGCGCAGGCGGCTAAGTGCCGCTGAGGGAGTGCCTACGAAGGCAAATTAATGTCAGATATTACAATAATTTTATTTAATTAGAGTTGGCCTGAGCCGCCAGGAGACAGTTCAGGTCGTTTGAAAGTTTATTAGGCGGGTCCGAGAGAGAGTTTCTCGGCCTGCGGACACGATAGCGAGAGGGGGGTGGGGCTGCATAAGAAGCTGCCTCACGAATTAAATGGTTTGGGTGCGACTCTGAGGCTTTGAAGAAGTTCTCAGAGAGTTTTTTAAGAAATTGTTGAATTGTTGGGAGCTCTAAGTCCCGATGAAGGTCGGCATTACGAACGTACCACGGTGCGTTCGCAGCTCGACGACAGAATAGGTTCTGAACTATTTGGAGTTCATTTAAAATGTTAGGGTTTGCGTGGGCAAAGACGGGGCCCGCGTAGGACATGACTGGTCGTATACATACCTTGTAGAGGGTACGCTTGTTTCGAAGGGACATTTTACTGTGTCGGCCCAACATACTGTTGAGCCTACTCAGATAAAATCGTGCGTGACGGGTT